TTAATGCATGATGTCCGCCTTACAAATAGTACTTCCAATAGAGAGAAGTCGTTACGTCACATTGCCATGGTAGCAAATTTTCTGGATGACAACACATCGAAAACGTCATTTTAATTTGTCAAATGTTGGCGGAATTTTCTAGGGTTCAATTTGAAAGTTAAGAACAAGAAAAAGAAAAAGAAATTCTTGTGTTGTGTTCACCTACTCCATAAAGCGGGCGCGTGAAATTAGGAAGTTTCGTGCCGCAGTCGTGAAACGACGGCTAAGAAATCTATTCAAAGTAGACAGACTGCAAATCATCTTAGTCGCTAAAAAATATATATCTACGCGTCGCAACTGTTCATCAGTAGGATGCCTAAAATGCGTGCAATTCCACAATTGGTTTCGGCTCCATTAAATCCTATGCCAATTGCAGAACATTTTACGAGGAGCACCCACCATGTGAGACAGCGTGGCATGAGGCACGTGCAGAGTTGTTGTTCTGCTGTTGCTTGTTCGCCGTTGTTATTGCCTTCGCCGTCGGTTAAACTCCCTAATAAATGTGATCCAGAAATTCTGTTACTATGGTAAGGTGACGTCACATTTCTCCTCTCTTTTAGCATAAGGAATAAATCTGCTCAAATCCGATGTTGGCAGTTTTTGTTTATTTCAACAAAACGGCTCTTTCTAGTCATCCTTTACGTTTTACCTTAGGTTTCCGCTTTAAAATCCGTGAAATTCTATTCAACAAAATACGGAACAAATTACCACAATTTCTATTTCTCCCACAAAAACCTTTCCCACTTTTTACATCCGGGGACTATAATGTAAAACTGTCAATCGATAAAGGTTAAAAGGTTAAAGGCATGTTTATAGTGGAAGGTGCACTTAGCTAGTCAACTAATTTACAGGCACTCCACTCAAATATTTAGAAACAAATAATTCAAATACAACATAACAGGATTAAAAAACCCCAACTGGCAGAAGGCAACCAGTTGGCTATTTACAAGCGTGGCCGAGAATTTGAACTCGGGACGACCGAGCACAAATCCAGCAAGTGGCCAGAGCGGGACTCGAACCCGGGACCGCCGGATTGCGAGTCCGACGCGCTGACCACTCGGCCACGGTGCCTCCCTAATACGTGCGAACTTAACTTCCTGCGCGATTTTGCACTCTTTACTTAAATTGAAAATAAAAATAATACTTAACACTTTACATTGAAATTTCTACTTTCTGCTCAGTAGAACAGAAAGGAAAGGGCTGTAGATAGGAAAAAACTAGGCCATTTCGCCTGTGAGCCTCATAAGCTGTGCAGCTCAGTCAGATGAAACAGGAGCAAGAACATAAGTGACAAAGAAGAAGCATTCTACACAGCAATCCTAATCCATTTAACTTACATGAAGGAGGTGCATTCGTCAATAGCTAATGTTGTTGATCTCCCAAGTCTCCGAATGCCCCCTTTATCATTTCATGATTTGTATGGGTAATCACATGATTTTTCTCGTGCAATTTGGAATAAATAAGCACGACTAAATTTTTCAAAGACCAATAAAAGTGCACGAGCCTGTAGGGCGAGTGCACTTTGTGGTCTTTGAAAAATTTAGAAGTGCTTATTTATTCCAAATTGCACGAGAAAAATTATGTGATTACCTATACTACTGGTAATAATATACAGGAAAAACATAACTACAACAACGATTTTGACAGCGCACGCGTTTTTAGTTCATTCAACTGATTGTCCGAAACAGACTACTACCTTTGTCACCTTCAAACTTTTTCAAGACCATCGCTTTCAAAATCATTCAGCTAAGAACTTGGAAATGTGCAAGGATTGATTTTATATGGTCACCAGCCTGTTAAAGATAACTCGGTTTACAATAATCAGCAAAAGTAAGTGTTTTTAAATTCATCCTCGATTATGAGAGCTCGGCGTTTACAAGAAGCGTTTACAAGAAGTATACTGCCGTTTTGAAATCAGGAGAACGCTTCGCGCAGCCAAAGATGAGAGACACTTGCTTAGGTTTTTTAACGACTGTTCATCACTGTCTGTTCCTGAGACCCCATCATAGCTGGATTCATGGAGAAATTTTTGATGTTTCAAACCCGAAAATGAAGGAGGCAATTTGTTCTCTTTCGACGCTGCCATCGATGGGTGAGTGGAGCCACAGTTGTTGTGATGTCGGAAACTGCCAGTATTAATATAGTATTTGCTTTTTCTCACCGCTGGGGTTTTCATTATTTCATTAGGCCTACTGCAAGAGTAATCGCACGTAGCTCTTCTTCGTCTTTAAGTTTTCAGTTTTGTTTGCTACTGAGGTAGAAAGAAACAGACCATCGCATGGATGTTTTAATAGAGGCCTTCGCTCCACAAAAGACTCAAAGAGAGCAACCGGACACTTTTCTTCTCCATCAAATAACGTAGGTGACTTGAAATCCCTGTTGTTGTCATGGAAAACTTGTATCCTTGTTCATTTAAATGCCTGAAAAGTGTAGTGGTCATGGTTTGCGTGTGGTTGCAACCATTTTTGTTCTTTAATTTTTTAGTAGTCTGTTATAAGTAGCTTGTTTTTTAGTTTCTCTGGTTCATTTTCCTCGATTTTGCTGACAGTATTTTTCTCTTAGCAACGCATTTTCAATAAAATTTAGCCAGAAAGACGTACTTTTTACTGTGTTCGGGTTTTTGGAATATTTTTTAACTTTTCTATTGTTGTTTTGCGTACAAAATTAAATCCCGTCGTTGTCTGCTGAAAACCATGGCCATTTTCTTGAATTTTGTTGTTAAAACAGCACTAATCTGATTGGTTCTTGGTGGTTTCTTTTGTGTTTTCAGCCAATCAGAAACCATTTGTAATTTGCACTCGTGTTACAAGTTTTACACTTGTGTTACAAGTTTGCACTCGTGTTACAGAGGAACTGCACGCCTTTCTCAGCCGATCGGAATTGAGTATTTTTTTCGTGTATATTATTAAGGACGTAAATGACATTTTGTGGACATTCTAACCAAGATGTTAACATTTAGCTGGATTATTGCATTCAGTTCTCTATTAAGCATGAGGGCCATGAGTAAAAAAGTTTTGACAAAAAATTTCTCCCACCAGCTATCCATTAGATTTGCATCAAATTAATTGATACTGAAATAGAGACAGGAAAATTGCTCCAAGATACATAGTAAGCCAAAATACGTGTTTCCCAAAAAAGCTCTATAGAGACTGCCAGCTCACCTGAGATTTCCATAAGAGCTTTCTTACAAATCAAGTAGTTTTCTTGTTCTATAGTTATCCTCAATCTGACATGGTCCAACTCGAGCTTTCTCTTCAGTTCATCAGTCACCAAGTCACTTTCAGCGATATCGTTAAGGCAACCCGGTTGATGGTCATTCCATAGTCTCTCAAGACTCTCTAGAGTGGGGCACTCCACTGTTAATATCAAAGACCCCTTTTGCACAGACTTCACAGTCACATTGTGAACCTCCACAAGATGTTCAAAAAAGGCACTTAAACCTTCAGGTGTTGAAGGACTATGGTGGATCAAGTATTTGCTTGCGTGAAGTTCTAAAATGTCATCCAAGTTTTCTTGTTGCTCATCGCTTAGATCTGGGGCACTGATTATAAGTTTAAGAACTTTAACAATGGCGCCTAGAAATTAAGAAAGGAACTGTGAGAAGGAAGACCTTAGATAACAATTCGCAACAGTGTTTGAAATCGGCTAAAGTGCATAAAACGCATTTACGTGCATAAAAATATTTGTTAGTGCGTCTTAATGACAAGTTTGCTTTCGTCGAGGTTTTGCATGTTTGTCAGAAGTACGTTTCATCTCGGCTTTTTTAAAAAAAACTTACTTTTTTCCGAGAATCTACCTTTGAATACAACAATTTGAATGACGTGTTTTTCCTTTTTTTTACCCATCCGGCGACTGAAATATTTGACAATTATTGAATGAGCCTGAGTATGACTGAAGAATTGTGCAGGTCAAGGAGATTGTTCGGCCTTAGCGGAAAACAGTCTCAGAGATCAGCATAAATCTTCACCTTATACGAAAGACGAATTTAATAATTGTTTTATTACTTCTTGATTAGAAATTTCTACATTTTGTGATGAAAATTAGCGATAGAAAGTCACGACGTTTCGACCTCTCCGAGGTCATTCTCACCTGCGAGTAAAAAATAGAAAATCAGCATTAATATTACAAACGGTTTAAAAATGTTTTAAAAGGTAAGAATGCAATTGACCACTCCAGAAGGTACTATAACAACATAATGCTATTTGTTTGTTACCCCAAAATTTTGCATAAGAATTGTCTTCAGTTTCTCTTGGGAGTTAAAATTGCCCCAAAAGAAACTGAAAACAATGGTTATGGAAACGTTTAGGGTGACAAAAAAAAGACCATTATGGTATGTTATGGTATTTTGTGGAGTGGTCAATTAACATTAAGATGCGATATATAATTTATGTAAACAATGAGTGATAAAATATTCATAAAATTGAAAAGAAATAACAATAAAGCTTATTAAAATAATTTTCCGTGGATAGAATTTAGTATTGGTTTCAGTTCTTTGTAAATTGAATTCTAAATTGTAAATAGCCAAATTTGTTTACCGACAAAGCACTTAAGAGTTCTTATAAACTGGTTTACACGTGTCCTTGCGTTCCAGATCGAATTGGAATTTTGATAAAAAGCATTTCAGAAACATTTAGCCGTAAAGGTTTCTGTTTTAGAAATATTAAAAGAATATATATTTTCAGTTCGTTTTATTTACTCGATTCATGTAATCAAAGTTGAAAATGATTGGTCTCCTTTAGGGGTTTAATTCAAAATTTCCGACGAGCTCCCCCGCCCCTTCCATATGGGAGTCCCGCCCGGGAAGACAATCAAGTTTTAAAATTTGGCGCAATTTCATTTGGTGACATATTGGCTGATCCCTCAGGCGGTTTCCGATTGCCGTTCCCTAGTGATCTTCAATTCGCTGGTGAGGGTGTCGGCACGTGTAGCCGACATAACCTGTATCAGACAGGTTACACTGAAAATGATATACACATTGTTGATTAACAAGGGGTGGCTTTTCTTCCGTCACTTGGATTTTAACATTGATCTTTCGACTTGTGTACACAGGGCTGATTGCATTTGGCGTGTTTTGTGCCCTCTCTTTTACTGTGCTGATATCGATTGTACATGTTACCGACATTTAAGTCGTGATATTCAATTAAAGGTGGCTTTGTGCCTTTTGCTCTTAGCCAGTTTACTCCACAATGCGTCTTTTTTCTCCTTTTTTTTCAAAAATTTCCGGATACGTGTGGACGGGGCCTAAGTTCTTGCTGAGGTATCTTTGACACATCTTTTTCCTTCCATTTTCTTTTTTTAAAGTTATGACTTATTTATGATGAACATTTTGTTTGTTTGTTTGTTTCCAGGCAAGTTCGCATGTTAAAATAAATTTTCATTATTAATTATTGTGATTCAAATTTTAGAATAGGTATATGAACTCTTTTCAACCCATGGATTTTGTTAACAAAGCGCCACATTTTTCAAATTTCTATTAAATGAAATTGTCTTGTCGATGACACGGAAACAACGAAACTTAAAACTTAAAAACTCCACAATTAATTTCTCAAGTTCACGAGCTTTCTGAACATTTCAACTTTATTTGCTTAGACGGCGACGCCTTCCACGGGTTAACTCATATGCTAATGAGAAAAATGTAAACAATAACGTCTGGAAAGATTCGCAGATTGTCAGGGATCAAACTAAGGCGTTGATAACCTGGTAGTCTGAGAACAAATAAAGTGTCATTGATTAAAAGATAAATCTTCATTGAGGAGACCAGAAATATCGCCAGAAAATTATTTTAGTCTTCGTCATTTGAGTGAGTATAAACCGGTTCCCAGATTTACAGTTTTTCGCGAGCCCAAGGTAACATCTGGTTTTAAAATGTGTGCAGACAATTACAACGACTGAAGATTTGCACTGGTACAGCTTAAAAGGTAGCAAGTCCTGTAACAATCACCTCACTACCCCCCCGCCCCCTCTCCCCGCCAACCAGCCCGTAGATGTACTAATGGGCGATAGCAAGAGAAACCTCACTACCCCCCCCGCCCCCTCTCCCCGCCAACCAGCCCGTAGATGTACTAATGGGCGATAGCAAGAGAAACAAATCATGTTTTTGCTTACCTGGATCACAAGAAGATTCTGACATTTTATGCTTACGGCTATTTTGTGACTGAAACACTTTAACTGTGGATGTTTCAGTTTGGTTTCCTGATGCAGCATCAGCTTTCTTTTCACAGTTTCTACCAAGGGACGTTTCTGAAAATAGCTGCTCGTCGTCATAAGAGTTTGTTCTTGGGTCTGCGTAAACAAGCTTTGGTTACAATAATAATTTATTTGAATGCAAACTAGTAGATTCATATATTCAACAATAATTTATCTGAAACTGAAGACCCAGTCAATTCCAGGTGTGCGGCCCATTCGTCCCCGAGGCGGACATTTTGTTAGGCACGATATATCAGGTTGTGTATTCCCGCAATAAAAGCTTAGCGGCGGGCGTTTTAATTCCTTCCCCGCCCCTAGATTTTTGCCCGCTCTCGCACGCCTCCCGCGAATCTCCCGCTTGGTTAAAAGTAGACGGAAATGACTGCTACGCATGCTACATACGAAAATACCTTTAAGGTCCTCAGCCATGCCCTCTGTCCTCTGATAAGCTTTACGCTTTATTTCTAAGGAGCTCCGGGGCTTTAAAGAGTCTTCTGTTAAAACAAACTGGGCCGGACGAAAACAAGTGGTGATTATGTATGTATGACTATAATCACATATGAATGTGAAGTGTTGCAAATTAAGCCTATGACCCATGGCTATGACGACCCCCTCCATAGACAATTCTGCTGAAAATAATATACCTGAAGAAATTACTAACGTTACAGTTTTCCTGATATCAGCATAGAGATAGGTATTCGAGAGCATTTTTTCCAAGATTTCAGGGCAAAACTTGTAAGGTATCGTATTTTTGTTTGTTTTTGTTTTCTATCATTTCCTGATAATGCATCATTGAAGAAATGATAATCGAGATTCCTACCGTGAGTCAGGCTTATCATCTTGTCAACTAACTCTTTTATCTGTTTGGCCCAGTTGTATTTCCTGCCATAGGAATCACGCAAGGTCACCGCTTCCTCAAGTCGACATTCCCTGTCCTTGGACCAGATATTCTGAATGGCTAGGGTCCAGATCGCGGGGTCCTCTGAGTCAATCACAAATGATGAACCAAAAGCTGCACTGCGCAGTGCTTTTCCAAAACCAGAGTTACTACTAACGAGCACTGGGAGACCAGCTGACATTGCCTCGAGTCCTGTTAGTCCAAAGCCCTCTGTTCTTGAAGGCATAACTACAAGATCCACTCCTTGGAACAAGCACCTTAAACTTTCTCGGTCTTCAACAAATCCTCTTACTCTCAAGCGATTAAGAGGAACACCACATCTGATAAAACGATTTTTATTTCTTTGTATTTTCCATCCGGTGCTCCAACAAACACAAGACGAGTATTTTGTAATGAAGCAATTGCTTTCCCAGCGATGTCAAATCCCTTTAATTCGAAATCTTCCACGTCTCCACGACCAAACACCAAGACACTGCGTTGTTGCCTTTGGCTGGGAGCCTGCCTCACAGCCTTAAACTCTTCAAATACGCCAGGAGTGAAGTCAAAGACATTGCCATCTTTATTACAGCCACAAAGATATGAGCGAAAGGTCTCGCTTAACTTGGGTCCAACTCCTATAACAAGATCCGCCATTTTACACAGTTCTACTTCGGTCTTGTGCTTTTCTTCGCCCTTCGAAATTGGGTTGGAATAGTTTTTAAACATTTCAAGTTCCTCTGGGTCTGTGTGTACCACTGGAAACCATTTGCAATTTTTAGAGTTCTTAATGACTTGTGCTTGTTTACCGAGTTTAACTTCATGACCTACGATAACGTCGATTTGCAAATCCTCTGGCGGAAAAGAAAGCCAGTCCAGTTGTTCAAAGCCAGGCAGTGCTGTTGCCTCTACGATCTTTACTTTGTGTTCCAGAGCTATCTTTCTGTCCTCTCGACTGCATTTTGGTAAAAAGAAAGTGATTTCCACTATAGGACATTTGGCTAACTGAATGGCTAATTCTCTGTTAATGGTGGAAAGTCCTCCATTACTAGCTAGATCTCCATTCCGATGCCAAAATAGTGACTTTCACTTTGCGATCAAGATCCATACACTCGGTCATCATGCGTTAGAGCTTTCTGTAAAGTAGATGCCATGGCCAATTATCAAGTCGTCCAACATCTAAAGTGAAATTAAGAATAGAGAATTAATTACAACTACTCCCGGGGAATAGATGCCCTCAAATAAAATGTTTCACTGGGTACTACCGATTGACTTTTATCAGTCTAATCAACCTTCCAGAACCTTACAAAGGTGGTGATCGGGAGGTCCAGAATGCATTTCATAACTGCTGCTGCTTTCCATTAGCCTGGGCTTTTCTAGAGGGAAGGAGAGGTGGTAACGACAAGAAGATCAGGCCTTTCTCCCTGTTTCCTCCTCTACCTGCTTCACCTTATTGCCCCCTTATCTCTTAGAAAGGCCTGAAACTCAGGTGAACGTGTGTGTATGTTTTTTTGTCCCTTAGGAATCTAGCTTCTAAAAAAATATATCAACATACGAGATGCTTTTCTGTTTTTGAGTGTTTGCTTTGTGATAAAACGTTACATCAAATAAATAAAATAAAAGAGAAAAAAACCACCAGGCTTTCTTTTCTAGCCCATAGCTTTACATTGCACTGGGCCGAATTACGTAACTTAACGTGTCACGGGAGGTAAAATGTCCAATAAACACTGCTTATGAACGTGGTAATCACCGACATTAGTTTTTTTTTCCAAATTTTTAAACGCATATCCAAGTGATTTACATCTGGATGCTAGTGATTAATACTCCCAGAAGTGAAAAAATTCAAAATTCAACAAGCTTATTCGAGGGTCTGGATGTGGAAAGGTGGGGGGGGAGGGGGAGGGGGGGGGGTTTGCAAGTGTCAGTTGTCACTTAAAATTTTGGCCATTTGTTATTAATTGTCCGTTCTAAAAATTTTAGGCTCTTTGTCAGTTGTCAGTTCAATGATTATTAATTATTAACTATGAAACTTATTTGTTTATTTTTTATCGAAATTTAGCTTAAAAACCACAAATAATGAGAACTAAACATTAAATTCGAAAACTGATGCAATGGTGCCTTAATTCTTATCAGTTCTGTTATTGAAAGCATTTCAAGTGGCCCTTAATTTCTCAAGTCTTTTGTCCCTCTCCTCCACACAAACGTTTTTCCTTGCCAGATACCAACATTTCCAACAATTTTTTTTAAAAAAGCCCAAATTTATACCTTCAGGGACGTAGATCGTAAGAAAGACCAACAAAGACCGTATATGAATCATCTCGGTAAAAAAACTTACAATTGCTTTCATGACGCCTTTATTAGCAGCCATTGTGTTTGCTCGCGCGTTCTAAGAGGAGCGTAAATTTGAGATCATTGATCATTTACAACGGATATGATAGTACATGACACACATGGGAGTTACAGTAAACCATTAACAAAATATGACACTTTAAAGCGTCCTGTTGCTAAAATCACCCACATAAACCACGATAAACGCACATTTGAACCCATCGTCTTACGAAAAGAGTGGAACAATGCTATTGAAAGGCCTCAAAAAAGGGTTTTGCAGAAAATAAAGGACAATCAAGTCCTTTGTCGTTTGTCAGTAAAACCCAAGGAAAAATGTCAGTTGTTAGTTAAATTTTAGGCGATTTGTCAGTTGTTAGTTGACCCCATCCAGGCCCTCTTGTTCCAGGCGTTCAGATCGTGGGTAAGGGAGGGGAGGATTTCCTCTCTTCCTCACCCTTTTTTTCCTCAGCTTTCCATTTCACATCGCTCTCTACTATCTGAACGCCTGGAACAGTCTATTGCTAAATAACGCGAGGGAGAGGGGGTGTGTCACTAAACCGCTAGGGTGTACAATTAGACTATTTAACGCCTTGAAATTGGTATCTTTTGGTCTGGAAGCCTTTAAAAGAACGTGAAGGTTAGTTAGCTGTGGTTCAAAAATATTTTTCTGGAAACAATATATAATTTCATGATGTTAGTATAATTCTTAATTCCGTAGGTAACACCAACTGAATAATGGTCGTAAAATGTTTCTTCGAAAAGTCAAAACATAAACTGCCGCTTATAAGCCCCACCGCCCCCCCTCCCAGTATAGGCCCAGCTACTTGTAATAAAAAAATATATCCGATTTTAAGCCCCCCGGATATAAGCACCCCTTCTAACGTTCCTTGAAATACAGTCGACTACCGATAACACGATTTTGGATCATTAGCCTTAAGATTACAGCAAAAATCGTGGTAAAAAAACACGTTTTACTCGCAGACGAGTTTGTATCGTATCGACTCAGTTGGGCATCTGTTCTTTAAATGCGATGACGATGATGCTTTCACCTTCAAGACAGCAGTTATTCATCTGAAAAGTATCTTTGAATTCGTGTTTTGTATGGCTCGATCAACTTTATACAGGGCGCGCTGGTGGAAGTTCTGGGGGAAAGAGTTATAATAAATTAAACATTATCCTTATCTTTATAGTATGTTCCACTATATAGCGTACGTTTTTTAAATTTATAAATTTTCTTCCCTATTACCTTATTTACCCTTTCAACTTCTTGCCTTTCCCCCGAAGTCCTTCGCGAGGTCCTGCGATTCACGTATTTCTAGTGATACGTTTATTGTGCTTCACAACAAACTGAGAATGTATTTCAAAAACATCTTTAAAACACTTATGCGACTGGAACAACTGGAACGGAACAAAACTAAATTTTAAAAAAAACTACAAGCCTTTTAGCGTTAGCCAGCTGTTTGCTTCAAAACATTGGAGTTGAACAGTTGTGTTGGAAATGAACAGTGGAACAGAACTCGTAGCGTTGTGATAAATGCATGAACATTTGTTTCTTTCTTTGGTATCAATATAATTATTGTTCTCAGCTCCGCAGACACTTGTTTATGCCTATAACTTTAGATTAAAAAATTTGATGTTTGTAAAGAAACGCAAAAGGAACGCAGTTATACATTAGATGGGCTTATAAACGGGGGAGGGGAGGGGAGCTTATATCCGGAATAATATCTTAGTTAGCAAATGAATGGGCTTGTATCCTGGGGGCTTTAACGTGGGATTTTAGGGTAGTTAAATGTTTCGGGCTTCCGACACTGTTTTTAGAAAAAAAATTCCGTATAACCCTATGCATTAATTATGCATTCTGTGTCATTAATAATGTATCCACAGAGTATTGCATATTTAGTAAAATCCAACTAGTGGTCTATTATCAATGCTGCGTTCTGATTGGTTGAGCTACTACTAGGCTATATGTTATAGCCCCCTAGTAGCGAAAAGCGCGTGCTTTTTGGCGGCAAAAAAGGATTCAAGTCTAGCTTTAACTAGCTAATTTTTTTTATTCTCGATATTTTTTACCATCTAGTTGAATTTTGCTAAAACAATTATTCCTCTCGCCCTCACGGCCTCTGAGTCAATAGCCCATGAGGCCGAAGGCCGAATGGGCTATTGACTCAGAGCCCATTCGGGCTCGAAGAATAATTGTCAAATAACATCAGTAATGAATACTTACTGCGCTAGTAAAAGAGGATTTTAATGCATGGGGTTATACCGAAATCTTGCCCTTTTTTTCCCGACTTATCACGCGTTTAAAACATTATTCGAGTTATCAAGGTTTAAATTATATAGAATTTTTCTAAAGGGAAACAAAAATGTCTTCGAGTTAGCGGGAGGTACGCTTTACTCTTTTTTGAAAGATTTTCTGTTGTAAGTAGAGCCCAGTTGTAGTGTCGTGACGTGACCTTGTATTGTGCAGATTTGTTTCTGTCTATCTCGCTGTTATCCCGCATCGTTTTACACGAAAAATACAACAGTTTGAGTAGTGAAATGTGATAAATTTGAAACAGTTACGAAATGTTTGCCTTCAGACGATCCCACAATACATTGCGTTTTAATGAAAAACGAAGGAGTACTGGGGAAATTCATGTAAACATGTTTGTCGCCACCAAGAATCGATCCCGACCGATTATCTTTTATTTCAAGATTTTAATATCTAGAAAGTTTTCCCATTCGAAAGCTCCATTTTTTAGTTTTCTCCCCTATAAAAACGTCCAAAATCTTTAATGACGTTCAACTGGGAATTCATGGACCAGACCATAGGGAACCCACACTCTTATTTGAAAACTACAAATGGAAATTAAATGTGAGACAAAATCTTACCTGTTTTGCTCTATTCTTGAATATGCTGTGGCGCAAAGTGAAATGGAAGTT